GTACTTAACACTACTGAACTGTATACTTTAAAACATTTAATGTGGGGCTGGCACTGTGCTTAGCAGGTAAAGCCACTGCCTGCAACGCTGGCATCCATATAGGCGCAGGTTCAAGTCCCAGCTGCTCCACTTCTGATCCTGCTCCCTGCTAATAAACCTGGGAAAGCAGTGGAGGATGGCCCAAGTGCTTGGGCCCCTGCACCCACATGGGAGACCCCTAGGAAGCTCCTGGCTCCTGGCTTCAGGTCAGCCCAGCCCCGGCTGCTGCAGCCATTTGGGGAGGGAACCAGCAGATGGAACATCTGTCTCTTCCCTCTGTCTCTGTAATTCTACCTTTCAAATAAATTAATCTTTAAAAAAATGTTTAATATGGCCGGCACCGCAGCTCAACAGGCTAATCCTCCGCCTGCGGCGCCGGCACACAGGGTTCTAGTCCCGGTTGGGGCGCTGGATTCTGTCCCGGTTGCTCCTCTTCCAGGCCAGCTCTCTGCTGTGGCCCGGGAGTGCAGTGGAGGATGGCCCAGGTGCTTGGGCCCTGCACCCCATGGGAGACCAGGAGAAGCACCTGGCTCCTGACTTCGGATCAACGCGGTGCTGAACCAACGGCAAAGGAAGACCTTTGTCTCTCTCTCTCACTGTCCACTCTGCCTGTCAAAAAAATAAATAAATAAATAAAAAATAGACTAAAGCAGGCGTCAGGGAGGTGGTTCTGTACAGATGCAGACAGTACATAAATATTTTAGGCTTTGCAGACCTCACAGTCTCTGTGGTCAGGTGCTCAATTCTGCCATCTTAACACAAAAGCACCCGCAGGCAATGCTGCAAGCAGCGGTCATGGCTACACTGCAATAAAACTGTGTTTGTAAAAACAACTGGTAGCCCGATTACATCCATGGGCCATCATCAATCCTTAGGTAAACCGTGAAAATATGGAAAAGCTGACGCTGCCCTGGGGGATGGTGGATAATAAGGATAGAGAACAAAGTGCTACGTGTCAGGGGCTAGCACAAGTGATTTGCTCCAACAACAGAACCACATGTGGAAGTGCAAGTGCGCAGGGAGCTCCTAGTCAAGTGTAAGATGATCCCGTGTCATTCTCTAAGACTCACTTATGGTCGGCACAGGGCGAATCACGAGCCCTGTGACCCTCAGGGTGGGGAGAGCGACTTTAATCTCTGCAGTCCCTCGGTGAGTGCCATCTGGTTTGGGTTTACTATTTTGGCACATATGAAGCAGTTACTGCCCACCGGTCCTTTCTTTTTTTTTTTTTTTTTTTTTTTTTTTTTTTTTTTGACAGGCAGAGTGGACAGTGAGAGAGAGAGACAGAGAGAAAGGTCTTCCTTTGCCATTGGTTCACCCTCCAATGGCCGCTGCGGCCGGCGCACCGCGCTGATCCGATGGCAGGAGCCAGGAGCCAGGTGCTTTTCCTGGTCTCCCATGGGGTGCAGGGCCCAAGCACTTGGGCCATCCTCCACTGCACTCCCTGGCCACAGCAGAGAGCTGGCCTGGAAGAGGGGCAACCGGGACAGAATCCGGCGCCCCGACCGGGACTAGAACCCGGTGTGCCGGCGCCGCAAGGCGGAGGACTAGCCTAGTGAGCCGCAGCGCCGGCCACCGGTCCTTTCTTAACAAAGCAGCCCTCATTCCACGGGTTAGTAAATCAATATGAGCACGCGGAGAATTGCTGAATATTTCTATTGCCAATACCGTGCTGCAGAACTTGGGAAATAACCATGGGTTGGGTTCGGGGATGCATTCAGACCACTAGCTACCAACCTGAGCAGAACCATGCACTAATTGTCCTCTGTAAACACTCCCGCTGGCCACAGTGAAATCTGAGATGCCAGGAGTTAACGCCAATTCGGTTCCAGAGTCCAGAAACCGCTCCAGGTGTCCACGTTTACCGAATGCACATCCACCAGAAAATCTGGCTGGAACTCACTTTGGGGAAGTCTAGGACGGTTTCCGACAGCGTAAATCAGTTTGGCCAGCATATCAGGGTGCTGCCTCCAGGGGACCCACCCTGCCCTGTGTTCAAGGCACTCTGAGCATGGGGACTGATATTATGGAATCAGCCGAGGGCTTTTCTACTTAAGTCAAACAGGCATTTACCATGCTCCTCCTCCATTGCCATCCCAGGACACCCTAAAGAGCACCCATATAAACCCCTCCTAGGGGCCCCTTTGGCTTTCCCACTCATTATGAGAAACACACTCAGTTTGTCCCCAGCACTGACAAGCCCCCAGCTGACCCCTGATGCTCCAGGATACCAAAATCCCATCACCCTCACTGAATTCAGAGAGCCCAGTGTGATGCTATAATTTCCCTCTTTAATCCCTGGTCTGCAGAAAAGTCACTACACAGCCAAGACACCAATGCAGCCCTCACCAATCAATTTCTCAAATCCTTGGCCAAAAAAAGAGTACCCTCTGAAGCCGCCAAGACACACAGAGTGCTGGGCGAGCAGGTCTTACATGATAAATCCATTCCCGAATCCCAGCATTCCTATTGCTTTGTATAGTCTCCTAAAGCAGTTTTTGGTTGGGAGCAATTTTGCCCCTCCTCCCAGGGGACATCTGGCAAAGTCTGGGGACTTCTTTGCCTGTTGTTAATTGGTAGACTATGTTCTTACAGGTAAGGGGGAGTGGGGTGGGTCATTAGGTACAAACTATGACCATTAAAGGATAATAGACTAGCAAAATTGAAATTTTTACTATTTACATCTAGAGAAACCTGAGAAATATATACGGTCGCAGAGCTTAACTGGAAGTAACATAATGATGAATTAGCTGGATTTATTGCTGTGGGTACAATGGACAGTGATTCTAGACTCACTGTAGGCTCACACACTTTGGAATGCCTTCAACAACTCATTGAGTCACTGAAATACGGATGCAAAGTTGTTGCCTACCTTGAAGTTAAAATACCAAACTTTTTTTTTTTTTGACAGGCAGAGTGGACAGTGAGAGAGAGAGACAGAGAGAAAGGTCTTCCTTTGCCGTTGGTTCACCCTCCAGTGGCAGCCGCGGCCGGCGCGCTGCAGCCGGCGCACCGCGCTGATCCGAAGGCAGGAGCCAGGTGCTTCTCCTGGTCTCCCATGGGGTGCAGGGCCCAAGTACTTGGGCCATCCTCCACTGCACTCCCCGGCCACAGCAGACAGCTGGCCTGGAAGAGGGGCAACCAGGATAGAATCCGGTGCCCTGACCAGGACTAGAACTCAGTGTGCCGGCGCCGCAAGGCAGAGGATTAGCCTAGCGAGCCGCAGCGCCGGCTAAAATACCAAACTTTTGGCGTAGTGGGTTAACCCATTGCCTGCAGCACCAGCATCCCCTATGGGCACCAGCTGCTCCACTTCTGATCCAGCTCCCTGCTAACGCGCCTGGGAAAGCAGCGGAGGACCACCCAACCGCTTGAGCCCCTGCACCCATGTGGAAGACCTGGAAGAAGCTCCTGGCTTCAGCTTGGGCCGGGGCCCAGCTCCAGCTGGGAGTGACCCAGCAGAGGTTCTCTTTCTGTAACTGTGCCTTTCAAATACATCTTAAAAGAAAACAAAACACATTTTCTAAGTATATTGAGAACGGCTCACGAACCTTGGCCCCGTGGCATGTCTGCACCACTCTCTCACTGAGGACGTCCGGTCCATGGTGGGCTGTTCAGCAGCACCCCCAACCCCCAGCCATTATTGAGCTCAGCTGTGACCATGCTGGTCCCACTCCAGTCACACCTTTCCCTCAGGGAATCTTTTTGAAATCTTTTTTTAAAAATTTTTTTTTTTATTTTTGACAGGCAGAGTGGACAGTGAGAGAGAGACAGAGAGAAAGGTCTTCCTTTGCCGTTGGTTCACCCTCCAATGGCCGCCGCGGCCGGCGCGCTGCGGCCGGCGCACCACGCTGATCCGATGGCAGGAGCCAGGTACTTCTCCTGGTCTCCCATGGGGTGCAGGGCCCAAGCACTTGGGCCATCCTCCACTGCACTCCCTGGCCACAGCAGAGAGCTGGCCTGGAAGAGGGGCAACCGGGACAGAATCCGGCGCCCCGACCGGGACTAGAACCCGGTGTGCCGGCGCCGCTAGGCCGAGGATTAGCCTAGTGAGCCGCGGCGCCAGCGAATCTTTATGAAATCTTAAAGCTTGTTTTCCACCGTCCTCAGGCTTTGTCTTGCCCTGTTACTAGGTGAACACCTTTTCCATCATTCCCTTACCCCACATCTGAAGACGCGCTCAGCCGTTCATTGTGTAGGCCTCGCTACATTCCTGGACCGAGCACTGGAAAGGACAAGCCAGTCCCCCAGGATATCCGCTTACCCGGTGAGCAAGTCTGGCAAGAACTAGTAGGCATTAATTCTTACCATTGAAGTTACATGCAAATCTTCTAGGCCACATGATTTTATCCCAAATAAGCTTCAAATACATTGATTGCAAATAGAGTCACATTTATCAAAGGGTCTGTATCTCTAAACAAGCATACTTTTTGAAATAATTGATTTCCAGAGTTCTATTTCTTAAATTTTGGCCTTACATGCCACATGACATGATTCCTTAACTGTAAGAAACTAATGTGCTCTTGATACATTTTTTTATTTATCTTTAGTATTTTCGCTGTTAAAACCACTGTATTCTACTGTAAAATTGATGCTTACTGCGGTTTTTCAAATGCAGGTTAAATGTGGACACACGGCACCGATACTCCTTGTCGGGTTGTCACACATGGTCACAGGCACTATTACGCTCACAGACGCACATGACTTTAACTATAAAGGTACTTCAAAAACGTCATGGAAAATGGAACAAAGTTCCTAAAAAAGTTTATTTGGGTGCAAAAAATTTTTTGAAATCCATGCACATAAGGAAGGGGTCTTTGCAAAGCTCATAGAAAATGCATATTATCTAGAAACTGGATTTCAATTTTTTGCATCAAAATAAACTTTACTTTAAATTCCATCTCCCCATGAACATTTTAAAGTACCCTCATAAAAGAAACCATCACATTCTCTGTTCTGTCTGGACCATCTTTTTTTTTTTTTTTTAAAGATTTATTTATTTATTTGAAAGAGTTACAGAGAGAGAGAAGGAGAGGCAGAGAGAGAAAAACAGAGAGGTCTTCCATCCGCTGGTTCACGCCCCAGATGGCTGCAACAGCCGGAGCTGTGCGGATCTGAAGCCAGGAGCCAGGAGCTTCTTCCGGGTCTCCCACGCGGGTGCTTTCCCAGGCCATAGCAGGGAACTGGATTGGAAGTGGATCAGCAGGGACTCGACCTGGCGCCCGTATGGGATGCCAACACTGCAGGCATCCACAGCACTACACCACAGCACAGGCCCCTTGACCATCATTTTGATGGATGTTGTTATAGGAGTATATAACTCTCTTCACACTTCTACAAAACTCAGTAACATGACTAATGTGTGACTCACCTTTCCTATTTAAATTTCCTAATGATAAATTCCTATTCTAGGATGTCCCAATCAGGAATGGGCACTTTGCATTCTGATACATACTGAACTTCTCTTGGAAATCTATTTTCATTCTCACTGCTAGGAAAAGATGTGAAAGTGAGTGATGCCCCAACAATTGATAGTTGATGAAATTCACCAAATTCTAGTAACTTGCTATTCGTTCTCTCACGGGAGAAAGGAAGGCTATGCACTAGGGAACTTGACAAAAGTAATCTACTGCATATAACCTCTACCTAAAACTATTGAAAGTAATACTAACGCTGTGGACAATAAGCTAAAGAGTAAGAAAACAATGATCAACATTGACTAAAAAATGCTCATAGGGCTGGCATTGTGGTGCCAGTTGGAGTCCCGATTGTTCCACTTCCAATCCAGCTCTCTGCCAAAGTCTCTGAAAAAGAAGAAGATGGCCCAAGTAACTGGTCCCCTGCCATCCATGTGGGAGGCCCAGATGGAGTTCCAGCCTCCTTCCTCCACCTGGCCCAGCCTCAGCTGTTGTGGCCACTTGGGGAGTGACCCAATGAACAGAAGCTCTGTCTTCCCTCTCTCTGTGGCTCTTTCAAATAATTAATAATCTTCGAAAATAAAACTTGTCACTAGTAATTCTGACACTTTACCTTGCCTTAACAGTGTTGAGAAAAATAATCAATTGTGTAGCACGTAAAATCCACAAAGTTCATTTTTCACTCCACACTGTCACAAAAGGTAACTAAATCTATACTGTATAAACCAACAAGTGCTAGAAAAAGTCCAAGGAGATAGGAACCAGTGTGATAGGAGGCTGGAGGGCCTTACCAAACTAGTATTGCAGCTTGCAGACTTGAGTGCCTTTCCACATTTCAATGCTGTCTCCGGGAATTCATTTTATGAAGGCTATGTTCAAGTTTCCTGTTCTGATTACAAATGTTCAATACCAATTTTCCCCTATTACACATTCTCCTCACTAACCTAACACCTATTGAGACCTAGTGAAGTATATGCAATGCTGCAGACTCAACAGTGAACAAGGCATCTGTTTCTATGGACTTAACATTCTAACAGACACTGATTTGGGCATCATGAACCTGTGGCAAAACATCTGCTAAAACCCCTCTCCCTCCCAAAACTTCTCTTCCTGGTAACTCTGGAGCAAGGCCAAGGTTCCCACGGAAGCTCATACTATGCCAGTAACGAGGGCTCTCCTCTGTGTACTCTTTGGGCCACTGGAATAGGAGGAGCTAGGGTTCAAACACTGGTTTTCATGAAACAATTTTCCTGTAAGATATGACGATTGGAAGAATTCACGTGACACTTGAGTCTCCAAAAAATCACTTTATAGAACTTTTTTCCTCTGTGGTTTCTCTGTCCTTCCCACCCCTATTGCTTTTGTAAGACTTATCACGAACGTGGATTCTGTGATGAATTGTAAGGTTGGACCTCCAGCTGAAGGTCTTCCCACACACGGCACAGCTGTACGGCTTCTCCCCCGTGTGCACTCTCTGATGTAACTGCAGCTGTGACGACCGACTGAAGACTTTGCCGCACTCCCCACACCTGTACGGCCTCTCTCCCGTGTGCACCCGCTGGTGCATGGCCAGATTCAGGCTCCACTTGAAGCCCTTGCCACACGCCTCGCACCTGTACGGCTTTTCTGCCGTGTGCACTTTCTGATGGGCTTGGAGGTGGGAACTCCGACCGAAGCCCTTCCCACAGGCGTCGCATTTGAATGGTTTCTCGCCACTGTGCACCCTCTGATGGGCCAGAAGATTTGAGGCCTGCCAGAACACCTGCCCGCAGTCCTCACAGTGGTACAGTTTCTCCCCCGTGTGGATCCTGCAATGAATCTTCAGATCTGCCCTCCGACGGAAGCCCTTCCCGCACTCGTCACACTTGTAGGGCTTCTCCCCAGTGTGGCCGAGCCGGTGAGTCTGAAGGCGTGAGTTCTGATTGAAGGCCTGCCCGCACTCCTCACACCTGTAAGGTTTCTCTACGCGGTGGGCTTTCTGGTGGACCTGAAGGTATGAGCTCTGATGAAGCCCTTCCCACATACGTCACATTTGTAAGGTTTCTCTCCTGTGTGGACAACTAGGTGAACTTGGTAATGGGAGTTCCTCCTGAAGCCCTTCCCACACTCGTGGCACTTGTACGGCTTCTCTCCAGTGTGGACTCGCTGGTGGGCTTGGAGGTTTGAGCTCAGGGTAAAGCCTTTTCCACACACGATACACATGTATGACTTTTCTCCAGTGTGCACTCCCTGATGGGCCTGAAGACTTGAAGGCCTACTGAAGCCCTTACCACACTCCTCACATTTATACAGTTTTTCTCCGGTGTGGACCCTCTGGTGAATGTAGAGATTGGAGCTGCAGGTGAAGCCCTTCCCACAGTCCTCGCACTTACATGGTTTCTCTCCCGTATGTACTCTCTGATGGGACTGAAGGTGTGAATTGCGACCGAAGCTCTTCCCACAGGCGTCGCAGGTGAATGGCTTCTCCCCATGTACTCTCCGGTGGTCCTGAAGATGAGCAGGCTGACTGAAGGCCCTCCCACACTGCTCGCACGGGTAAGGCTTCTCTGCCGTGTGCGTTTTACAATGAACGCTGAGTGCTGACCGCCGACGGAAGCCCTGGCCACATTGCTCACGTGTGTGCGGTTTCTTTGTCGCGTGGACTCCCTGATGCCTTTGTAGGTGTGAACTGGGACCAACTTCCTTACCACACTGATCACACCTGTGTCCTCCTGCCCTGTGAACTCTCCAAGGAGCACGAGGAGCAGGGCTGCAACTGAAGCCTTTTTCACATACAACACGTGGCGGAAACGTCTCTCCCGAGTGTAGCTGCTGCTGAGACCCACACTCACACCATTCTGATCAGAGGCTGAACTCTTCACGCTCCCTTTCCCACGATCACTGGGGCTACAACATCTTTCGCTTTTGTGTACTCCACAATCACTGTGGTGATATGAGGTCCAGTCGTTGGGGTCAATGCCCTGTTCATACTGACACAGTTTATTTTTTATAGGACTTTGCTGGTATTTATTCTGGCGATTCTGTAACTCAGTCAGGCAAGTTTTCTTCCAAGAATTCTGAGTGTCTGACGTTGGACTTTCTGGATTTTCAGTATCACTGAGACCACAGACTTCAGGATTCAGTACAGAGTTTTCATCTTCGGAAACGTGAACAGAGAGTCCAGCCCCAGCTTTGTGGAATGGAGAAGTATTTATCTTGGAGTCCTCACTCTTGGTGAAATCATCTGCGATCTGTCGCCAAACTTTCCAGGAGAGCTCGTCACGAGACCCTCTGTCCCGAACAGCCTTTGGGTCAGTTTGACTGTCCCCTCCTATAAGGACGAAGAATTTGGATACAGACAAGTGAACGTCTTGCTCAAATATTCAGGATCCCACACTTGAGACACTGCATGAGAATGGAATCGACTGCAGGACGCTTTAGCTTATCCTTTTCACCATATATGAACTTTCCTGCATTATATAATGGCAGAAAGCAAGAGGTAGCCCACTAGGTGCTGGCCTGCTGAGCGGTAATGACACACGATTTAACCTGTTTTTAAAATATGACATGTCTGCCGGCGCCGCGGCTCACTAGGCTAATCCTCCGCCTAGCGGCGCCGGCACACCGGGTTCTAGTCCCGGTCGGGGCGCCGGATTCTGTCCTGGTTGCCCCTCTTCCAGGCCAGCTCTCTGCTGTGGCCAGGGAGTGCAGTGGAGGATGGCCCAAGTGCTTGGGCCCTGCACCCCATGGGAGACCAGGAGAAGCACCTGGCTCCTGGCTCCTGCCATCGGATCAGCGCGGTGCGCCGGCCGCGGCGGCCACTGGAGGGTGAACCAACGGCAAAGGAAGACCTTTCTCTCTGTCTCTCTCTCACTGTCCACTCTGCCTGTCAAAAAATAAAAATAAATAAATAAATAAATAAATAAATAAAATATGACATGTCTTTCCTACCTTAACACAACATAAGTAAAGAGAGAGATTCTATGGTAGCTAGTTTTGTAACTGCTGTCGGGAACAGTTCCTGGTGGCTTAGCAGGTGCTCAATCAGCACACACATAGATGAGTCCCAGTATGGTTTCTAGGACTCCCTGTAACTCCAAACCCAACCTTAAGCTTGAGCCAAGTCACAGAAGAAAATGAGCTTTTACAACAAAGATATCTGAATACATAGAGAATCGGAAAGTGCAATTTAGCTGAGCAGTTGAAAAGCTGCACCTGAGGCAGGGGTACACGGAGAAGAGTGAGGCTGAGGAGAAAAACAAAATTTGCCAAGGGTCATCTGGGGTGAGAGGAAACCATGAAGTCCCACACACTGGATCTTCCTGCGGCTTTTGGACTGTCTCTCTAATGGGTTTCCTTTCCCAAGTTAATGAAAAATGCTGTTTGAAAGAAAAGTATGTGTCGCTCCCCGTCTTCATGGAGGAACGACACAGGACCCTGCCTAGGCTTCATATCCGAGTCACGGCACCATTATGTCGCTCCCCCTCTTCGTGGAGGAACGACACAGGACCCTGCGTTGTTCTTCGTCTGCTCGGCCCTCCCCAGGTTTGCTGCTGGTTCTTCCCGGGTTGGCTACCGTCCCTTCCACCTCCGTGGAAGGGCAGTTCCCCCTGGCCACTTTCCCCACTTCCGCGGGGGAGCGGCACACCGCCGGCCGGCTCTCTCGGGGGCTGCTCAGGTGTTCCTTCAGATAGATGTTCCTGGTGCATGTTGTCTCTCTCCTCCTTTATAGTCCTCTTCCACCCATCCCAACTCTGCTACCCACACGCCGAGTACGCTGCTCTCCTCCAATCAGGAGCAGGTCCTACAGTTTATTGGTTGAACTGGAGGCAGCTGTGTAGAAGCTGTTTCCTCCTCTCCCAGCGCCATATTGTGGGAGAGCAGATGCATAGAATAAGTCTTAATTCCAGTAACTTAGTCTAGTCCGAGTTGCTCCCAGTTGCTCCCCATCAAGTATGGATGATTTTGTGATGCAGGTACACTTGCCTTTAATAAGAATACTTTCCAAATTGATAAATTCAGACTATGAGTGAATACATTTAATAGTTGTGCTTGGGCCCCTGCACCCACATGAGAGACCAGGAGAAAGCACCTGACTCCTGGCTTTGGATCAGCCTAGTCCCGGCCATAGCAGCCATTTGGGGGGTGAATCAATGGAGGGAAGACCTTTCCCTCTGTCTCTAATTCTATCTGTCAAATAAATAAATGAATGAATGCATGAATAAATGAATAAATAAATAAAAGAAGTGGAGCAGCTGGGTCTCAAACTGGCCCCCATATGGGATGCTGGCACCACAGATGGCCGCTTAACCTGCAGCCCCAGTAGTGGTGTTCTAACGTGAAAGGCCTTCTAAAGTCACACATATAAATCTGGATGTGCACTTTGGAAAAAAACAAGTGGAATCAGGAAATTTCCTACCTGAACACAACATAAGTAGAGAGAGAGAGTAACCATGGTAGTTAGTTTTGTAACTGCTGTCGGGAACAGATTTTAGCTTCAACAGAGTGGTTACGGTATTCAAACTAGGCAGAGACCTGAACAAATAAAGAGGGCAGGAGGGTCAGAGATGAGGCAGTCGAGAACCCACTGAGGGCTTCGGGGCAGAGGCGGCCTTGACAGGCCTGAAGAGAGACAGTGAGCACCTGCAGGCTGGGGCCCACCCCACAGGAGGGGAGGCAGTGGAGGGCGGGAAGCAGGTGCACTAGCACGTGGAGTGGGGCTTGCGCTAAGGAAAAGGAGTCACAGAGAACTGCTGAGTTGCGGCCTCACAAGTCTGACCCAGCAGCACGAAGGATCGTTTCGGTTGCTGGGCAGAGAACAGACAGTAGGAGGGTGAGGGTGGCAGCAGGACAACCAGTGCCAAGACTGCGGCAATAATCCAGGGAGAAGATATGGCCGTGTGCACCAGGGGATGGCACCAGGGCTGGCAGGAGGCAGAGCAGATGCAAAGTTAACTATAGGAACTCACAATTGCTTGGTTCTTACCTAAATTTCTTCCTCTGTGGACTGCTGTCTTCATCCCCCAAAGCTTTGCTTCTCTTTCTGAGAGCACATGTGGGATACCTTGTTGGCAAGGTCGATGCCCTGTGAACATGCAAGTCCCGGGTTTAAAACGCACACACTGCAGCTGGAACTGGCTGGAAATCTGCATTGCAACTGCAATATTCGAGACACGGAGAAAAATGTTTTTCAAGCTTTTATAAAAATCATGATTCACTAAAGATACACCACTTATTTCATTACCCAGATACATATGCATAAATATATTTTAAAAACGTGGCCGGCTCTGTGGCTCACTAGGCTAATCCTCCACCTTGTGGTGCCGGCACACCAGGTTCTAGCCCCCGTCAGGGTGCCGGATTCTGCCCCGGTTGCCCCTCTTCCAGGCCAGCTCTCTGCTGTGGCCCGGGAGTGCAGTGGAGGATGGCCCAAGTACTTGGGCCCTGCACCCCATGGGAGGCCAGGATAGGCGCCTGGCTCCTGCCTTTGGATCAGCACGGTGCGCCGGCTGCAGCGCGCCGGCTGCGGCGGCCATTGGAGGGTGAACCAACGGCAAAAGGAAGACCTTTCTCTCTGTCTCTCTCTCTCTCACTGTCCACTCTGCCTGTCAAAAAAAAAAAAAAAACACAAAAAAAACCTAAAGTCTGAATGACCTATTTCTAAATAATACCTCTTTTCACTAAATCTGCTCCCACTGGCTCTCATTCCACTCATGCAACTGGCCAGAGTTTTCGCTGCAATGCCTCTGCATTCTTAAGGAACACTGATGTCTTTTATTTCCTAAAAAGTCGCTGGTGGGGTTCAGAAACTTGGTTTTATAACTCACTCATGGGCCAGGAGTGAAGTCTGAAGAAGTACAGGTGAGCCAGGGCAGAGTTCTGTCCATTTACAGTTCTCTTCCAAAACACAAATGAAAAGCATCTGGGAAATCAGGAAGACCAGAAAACCTGTCTCTGCATCCTGGCGGAACCAGCAAAGTCAGGTCCACACTCAGGGAACCATGTCCAGAGCCCCAAAGCCTTAAACCCCAAGGTTACAAAGATACTCCAGAGGGGGCCGTCCTCACCCACGGAGAGCAGGTTCCAGAAGTTCTCCACCATCACATCCTGGTACAGCTTCCTCTGGGCAGGGTCCAGCAGCCCCAGCTCCTCCTCAGTGAAGGCCACAGCCACGTCCTTGAACGTCACCG